CAGAAAGCCAAGGAGCGCGGAGCCGTGGTGGTGAAGGAGCCCTGGGTGGAGGAGGACAAATTTGGGAAGGTGAAGTTCGCGGTGATCCAGACGGTAAGCGGCAGGGCAGCTGCGGAGGCTGAGCCCCTGCGCCGGAGCGGGGTCTGTGGGAGCAGGCTGGACCCGGGAGGTCCCTGAAAGAACAGGGCCACCGTGCAAACGCTTTCCCCGCTCTCGCAGTATGGTGACACCACCCACACCTTGATAGAAAAGCTCAACTACAAGGGCCTCTTCCTACCCGGGTACCACCCGCCCCTCTTCAAGGACCCCCTGCTGCCAAAGTTGTGAGTACTTTCCAGAGGGTCCCACCGAGGAGCCGGACGGGTCCCCAGCGCCTTGCCCTGGAGCCCCCCGCGCTGTGGGGTGCCCTGGAGCCCAGCTGAGAGCCACCTCCGCCTTCCCCCCCGCAGACCGAGCACCAAGCTCAACTTCGTCGACCACGTCGTGGGGAACCAGCCTGACCTCCAGATGGTCCCAGTGGCAGACTGGTAAGAGTGGGGAGGGCTGGCGGGAGGTGGGATGGAGCAGCAGAACCACTCTGCTCCTCTCACCGCTTCCAACGGTTGCGGCTGAGGCTAATTAAGCCAGAGCAGATCTTCGTTAGTGCGGGGATGGAGCGAGGGACTTGATCGTGCCCTTTGTGGCCTGGGCAGGTACCAGAAGAACCTGCTCTTCCACCGCTTCTGGTCAGTGGACGACAAGCAGCTGCACACCGAGTTCAGCGCCCTGCGCTCCATTGTGGTCACCAACTACGAAGAGACCATTAAGATGCCCATCAACGAGCCGGCGCTCGGCAAGAAGAAATCCCAGATTCAGGTGAGCAGATGGCGGTGGTTGATCTTTCAGGCTGTCACCACCTCAAGTGGGGCTTTGGTGAAGGAGAAGGGACCGAGGGATCAGCGATTCGGAGCCAGCACAGATGTGCTGTGCTAAGGTGGCTGCCGGAAAGCAGCCCTGGCTCTGCTCGGGTCTGCCAAGGGCTGCCAGACCCTGGGGGAGCCGCCGGGACGGAGCTGGTTTACCCCGATCTCACCAATAGCGTCTTTTCAGTTCATGGCGTCCCTGAGCTGGGTTTTTTTTTTTCATGTTTTTGAGCCCATGCCCAGCCCTTCGCATGCCGTAGCTGCGCTGTCACTAACACGGTGACATTTTTTTCCCTGTAGGAATATATCGACTATTACGGAGGGGCCGGAGTCCAGCACATCGCACTGAACACCTCTGACATCATCTCAGCGGTGAGTGCAGCCCCGGGCAGCTCCCTGCCCCAGCACCGCTCCCCCTCCGCCCCGTCCCGTCGGGCACGGTCCTCGTCACAGGGCGGTGGTGGAATATTACTTGGGTTTGGGCTCTCCTCCAGACCAAAGAGCCTCCCGAGGTATTGGGGGGGCCAGGGTGGGATGAAGCGTCCTTGCACGGTGGCCAACTCTCTGCATTGCCTTGGAGAGGACACCATGGGCCCTCCCGTTCCTGGTGCCCAAAGCGAGAGGGTGGGACAGGTCCCCATGCACGAGGTTGGCCAATGTCACGGGGAAGCATCACTCCGCCTCCCGACGCCATCCGTCCTGGGCCATCCTGCCGGCACAACCCGCTCCACAAAGGAGCCCCGAACCTGACGCACGCTGAGGTCTCTCCTGCCTTGCAGATCACCAACCTGAAGCAGCGGGGGATGCAGTTCATGGACGTGCCGTCCAGCTACTACCAGATGCTGCGGGAGAGGCTGAAAACTGCCAAAATCAAAGTGAAGGAGAACATCGACAAGCTGGCGGTGAGTCGGGCAGGCCTGAGAGGGAAAACATTTGCCCAGGGCTGGACCGGGTCCCCAGAGTGTTTTGCAGGGATGAGGGTGATGCAGAGGGATCCCCTTGCTCCTCTGTGAGTCTTCGAGCTTTCACCCTGTTTCTTTTCTCCAGGAACTGAAAATCCTGGTGGATTTTGATGAGAAAGGCTACTTGCTCCAGATCTTCACCAAACCAGTTCAAGACAGACCCACGGTCTTTCTGGAGGTCATCCAGCGGCATAACCACCAGGTCGGTTTGAGGATTTCACGATGATCTTCGAGACCTCGGGGCCATCAAGTACTATCACCCAGCCGGCTCTCGGTGCTGCTCTTTCCCAGCCGCTTCCGAGCTGACGGACCCGCTGCCCATCCCCGCGGTCTGTAACGTTGTCATCTCCGCAGGGCTTCGGTGCCGGGAACTTCAAGTCTCTGTTTGAAGCAATAGAAATGGATCAAGACGCGAGAGGAAACCTGACCATCCTGGAGCCCAACGGGGAGACCAAGCGCATCTAGAGGATGGCAGAAAACGCCGTCCTCGCCCCTAACGAGCTGATTCACAAACGAACCGGGAAATGGCCAATGTTTTGGTAAATAGCCCAGATCTAAGTGTCATAAATGCAGGGAAGCTGCTGCCAAGTTGGAGATGTAAAAGGACTCAACACCTATCCCGACCCAGCCCCGGCGCTGCCCTCTGGTGACTTCTTGGGAGAGGGAGCGTGGGAAATAGCAAACACGCTCTTAAAAAGCAGTTTAATCTGATCCAAACCATCGAATTTTTAATAAAGGGCAGATTTAAGGCATGTGCCAAAGACACCCAGCTACAGAGAAAGACAGAAGAAACAACTGGGAGTCCTTAAATTTAGTCTATCCAAAGTTTTCTGTTCATTTTAGCTGTATGGGAAGCTGGGAGAGGAAAGTATGGAGGCGTTTGGCTCACTGGGCATCTCATTTTGTAAGATTTTATTTTAATTGCTTTTAGGCTCAATCTTGAATTTGAATTTGCTGAGATTAAACACAGGGTTTTAGGGTAGCTACAACATTCTGGAATGAGACTTAATCGAATTTACAGATTTCAGCCTTCCCAAGGCAACGCCGTCTTTCTCGAATACCTGTAAATTCCTGAATTAATGAAGGGTTGGGCTTTCTCCCGTGTTTTAAGAAGTAATTGCTGGCATCGACAGCAATTCCTTGGCTCAGATCCCGGCTGCGCGTGCAAAGTCCCCTCTGGGAATTGCTCTGGTGTTGTCACTGTCCTTTGCAAGAGGACTTGCCCCACTGACATAATAAAACCCTTTTCTGTCACAGCTTGAGTGCCTGGTGAGTTAACGTGTCAGGGCTGGAGCCCCTCTGCCCCACATTTGCTGTGGCTGCAGATCAAACGCTCCCCGAGGAGCCTGCAGACCGCTGAGGAACATCTCAGGGTCCCCACTGCCCAGAGATTTCCCCGCTGTTGCACATCTGCCCTCCAACGCCCCAGTGCACCCACCGCTGCTCCCCAAGTTTCCCAGCAGTGAAGCCGCTCCAACCCCGAGCAGCCAAAGCCCAAGCCCTCAGCTCAGGACGGGTTCCTCGGACACGAGTCCTTCCACCAGCCCCAACCCCTGCCCCATCCGGGCACCCTGCTGCCTTCTGCCCCGCGCCAGCCCTGCGAGGTTTGCTGTCCTGCAGCCCCATCCCTTCACAGCCGCCGTGGCCGGCTACAGAAGCTGAGAACTGAGCTGGGAGGTCACCTACAGCCCAGGCTCCCTCCTGTCTCTTCCATTTCCTCCTCCATCAGCCACGCTCTTCGGCTCTGCTCCGGGTACCTCTTTTTCTAAAGCTCAGAGAAGCCCCTTTGACCACCACCACGTTCACAGCAGCCGCAGCCCCCAGCGAGGGAGGGTGGGGGGCACATGGCCAGCTCCAGGCTGCGCTTTCATCCGCATCAAACCTCAGCAGCTCACCCGGCTCCCCCCTCCTGTAAACCACAGGTAACAGAATTCATTTCAGATTTGAATAAATTGATTTAAAAGAAAGAAACCAAAAAGCCTCTGGCCCCAACAGCCTTATAGCATCCCCCAAAACAGCAACACCAACACCTTGCTTTGTGCTTTTGCCTCCATAAAGTTTAAAAAAACCAACCAACCAAACAAAAAGATGTAAACTCAGAAAAACCCAGAGCAGGGACCCCTCGCCTGCCCAGGCAGCACCCCTGAGGCTGGACAGGTTAGGGACAGCCGGCACCGTGGGCTGGAAGGATTTTTAATACTAATTTTCTTTAAGTTTGTAAACTTAAATCACTCGCGTATTTCTTTAATGTAATACAACGTCGCTGAAAGTAATTTCCTGCTCACCAGAATTTCAGTAAATTTTGCTGAAAATCAGTTCTCTGAACGGCTTTTTTTTTCTGGGTCTGGTTCCTTGAGCTCTCACGGTTCCCAGCACAGGCCTGAGAGCAAAAAGCTCCCCTGGCTATACATTAAGCACAACATAATTTTTCTGTAAGAAAAGTCAGTATATTTACGGTTTGCTTTATAAAAGTTACTATAATACAATGGTACATAGTATTCAATTCACAAAAATATGAACAAATATATACAGCATGACACATCCACAACAAAAACACTTTCTTCAAAACAAGATACATACTGGTGACAGATTCTATATGCACAAAACATCCCTAAATTTATAAATTTGCTTAACGAAAGAAAAAGCAGAAATCCTAAATCTTCAAAGCAGAGTTGTTTTTTTTAAGGAACTTAAAAAAAAAATTATTTTTTTTTCCATTTATTGCAAACCATTTTACCTGCCTCCTTTTAAAGGAGGCCCTTTATTTTCACACTGTGAATTAAAACAATCTGTTTATCGAACCAGAAAACTGCAAGGATTGGGAGCTGGGTGTTCTTCCATTTCGCTTTTAAAACTGCCCATTTGTTTTAGAGTGTCCGTTACGATGTGTTTCTTTTCACTTGGACGAATACTACAGTGGCAATTAAGGAGGAAACTCATAAAAACAAAACAAATATTAAATTGAAAAAATCCAGTTGCAAACTCGCTTAAATACATTTTAGGTTGTCTATTAGACTGTACACATTTCCTCGCTTGAAATAAATAGATTTTGCACATTAGGTTTCAGACTGAGGGCGGGGGGGAAAAAAGAAGCCTTGACTTGGCAATTTTTTGTCTTCAGTTTCTTAATGCTTCTAATTCCATCTATTTATTTGACAAAAAACATATTTATACAGAATTTACATTATACAAAGCTTGACACAAGCTGTAAATGCCACCAGCTCCTTTGCTATACTTAGTCCTTCTTCCTCCCCATCTCCGTGACATGATTTAGAGCTGGAATCTGTTTAAAAAGAACTCCAAATTACAATAGTCACTTTTAATAAATTATTTACATGCTCTTGAAGTACAAAGAAATCAGCAAAAAAATTTCAACATGTTTCTACAAGAAACAGTGTTTGAAGAGAAGATTCTTGAGTTTGCCTATGTACAGAAGATGCATTTTTTTATACTTCAAAATCCTTTTTTCCTTAAATTTTTATTTTATACAGAAATGCACTGAAATGATCCCTGAAAAAGGTCACAAAAACCAGAACTGAAACTACTGTATAATTTGTTGGAGTTTAAAAATGTTTGCTTTTTTTTTTTTCTTGTAGAAATAAGCTGCTCTATACAATATAAATATCTGCAAGATGAGCCCCCTCCCCTCCCGGACCCCCGATAGTCACAGACCACTTATTGGGACCGACCTGGAATTGCAAACAGGGGTGTGAACCAAACGGAAAAATGAAGGTGTTGGGCAGCGGCAGGCGGGATTTGCAAGCACAGAGCGCGCTTCCTAGAAACGCCAACTGCGGCGGCATCTGCGCCCTGAACTCAAGCCAGCTCCACGTTGGGAAACTAAAGATTTAAGTTGTATTTCCAAAACATTTGCACTATTCTCTTGGGTCGTTTCACCTACTGAGATATAATTTTGCAGGGAGCACAGTCGATGTCTCTCTCTTTTTTGTCTTAGGTTTCACTCTAAGTGAAAATAAATTTGGGACAGGCTTTGCAGCAAACTAAACTCCAGTAAATCTCTCTCTAAAGCTGGTGAGGTTTCTTTTTAGTTCTTGCCACTATTTCCATGGGGTGCCGGGGTACCTGTGCTGACTGCGGGAGGCAAACGCTGGGTCCGATCCAGGCTGGGGTGTGAATTCCACACCTTCAGCCTTCCTCCTCTCATCTCCCCCTTCCTACCTACAAGCCAAAGTACCTGGGAGGGATTAGAAAGGCATCTCCACGGGGCTGCCCTCCAAAACCACGTCCGTGGCTGTAGGGCTCTCCTGCCCCAATGAGACCCCGCCGGCTTGCCTGGACAGGGCAGCCACAAGCAACTGCGGCAGCCGGGCCAGCCACAAGCAACTGCGGCAGCTCACAGAAATCACTAAGCCAGACTTAAAATCCTCACCGCAAAATGATCTGGTTTGGGGATGGAGCAGCTTCGCAGTCTGAGACAAAAGCTATGCAGGAAGGACTCTGCAAGCCAGAAGAAGCAGCCATTTCTTCTTATGGGGAAGAAAAGAGAAGCCTCAGGTTTGGCTTTGAGACCAGACTAACGTGATTTAGTTAGACCCACGGAAGCACTGTGGGTCCAACAGCCCCATTTCCTCCTGGGGGGGCTACTGGGAGCTCAGCTCTTCCAAAAACTCACGTTATTTGTCTGGGATCCTAAAAAGGGATGGGTTACGGGCAGTTTCAGAAGTACCAAAGTGATTTAGGTGCTTGTGGTCTTTGGCACCCAAACGGCTTTGGTGCTCCTAAAAACACCGTGAAGCACCCCAACCTGTAGGTCTCGTTTCAGAAGACAGCGACCTGCCTCCCCACCTCTCCTCAACAAAGATTAAGGCAAACCGCAGGGGCTAATCCCCTCCAGAGCACACAGATATGCTGGGAAATACAAAACTGTCAGCAGGTACTTAGGGGCTGGGCTATTTGGGGTGTCTTCGCCCCCACAAAACCACCGTTAATGCACCGGTTTGATGGACCAGAGAGGAAGAAGGCCAAGGACATCGGCAGAACTGCCGCACGCAGGGGCTTCAGTTCTGAGACACAGGAAACTTCTGTGCATTTCCAAAGCTTTGAAAGTAAAAGGCCAAGCTGTAGAGATGCCAATTGGAGCGTCAACACAAGAAGATGAACCTTATTTAAAAAAAAAAAAACCAAACATCAAAACCAAAATAAATTGAGCAGCTGGTTTAACTCCCAAGTGCTCCTGCCATCGCTGCAGTTACAACCAACGTTCAATGACAGAAACTAGTTGTGCTTCTCGTAATTTTAGGTTCTGGGTCACCATTACCCAATTGCTGGAGAGATTTATAAAGAAGAGGGGAAACAACAAAACCAAAACAAAAAAAGAGATGAGACTATGGACTGTCCTATCTCAGCGACAATTTCCTCGCCTTCAGAAATACAGGCGGTATTAAGGCAGCTTGTAGCAGTCTGCGTGTTCCTGTTTTTTCAGGCCTTTTGTCTGAGGAAGAAAT